ATTTAAATTTGATTGTATAATTCCAAAATTTGAAGCAAAAACGGAATGATCTGACTTGAGCTTTGTGAAACTATACTATATAAAATATCTGAACAAAACAAAAACAGCATATGGGCTTCATGAGAGTGAAGACTGTTCCACTCAGAGATTCGTTCATATAAACCCCCACTCGCAAATGTTTCACAATTAAATGAACATCTCAACCGACTTCATCACAAAATCATCACACATTTTTATGGATTTTCAACTGGCTCGGAGTGCATCGTGACATCCATAATAACAACTGAAAAGTTTATATACTGCTAGTAGTATTCTATACTGAAAGCTATTTACTGCAAAAGTAGTACCTTACCCCCTGTTTTAAGAGTTGCTTAGACTTCAAAAAAGTACATGTACTGTACTTACATGTTTGTAATTCAAAACAGAGTTCAAGGAGGCGTTCTCACTCTTCGACAAAGATGGCGATGGCACCATTACCACCAAAGAATTGGGCACAGTGATGCGCTCATTGGGTCAGAACCCCACTGAGGCCGAGCTGCAGGACATGATCAACGAGGTAGACGCTGATGGTAAGACTATAAACTCATAACTTTCCACAGTCCTACTGTCCATTCTGTTTGATACAATAAGTGCTTTATTTTAGTCAGGTAAAGTTATGTGGCTTCTTATGTCCAATCCTGCTCAAGGAGGTCCACTATACTGCAGACTTTAGCTCCAGTCATAATTAAACACACCTGGACCAGCTAATGAGGGTTTTCAGAATTACTGGAAACTTCCTGGAGATAAACTCTGCAGGACGTTGGCCCTCCAGGAGCAGGATTGGACACCCCGTCCTAAATCAAGCTGGTGTTAAGTGTCTTTCTCAGGAGGGCAGATTAACGCTGGCTAGAATCACCCTGTAAGTCCAAAGTGCTCAGATGGTTGGTTTCACCCTCAGTCTGCATGCCCATAGAGAGCCCTCAGACCGTTCATGGACCACCTGATACATATTACACATCAAAATGATGAGCTGTCAGAAAATCCATTCTGATTTGTTGGATGTTTATATCAGTCCACCAGTTAACAAGGTTTTGTTTAGAAGTTAGCAGGCTTCTAGAACGAGCACTTCTCTGGAAGATCTCGACATGAGCTTGCAAAAGTTGGCAAAGTTCATGGCAGCAAAGCTTTGAAATAAATTGTCGTCTAAATTTATTTTAGACTAAAAGTCTACAGCCTCATGCAGATGCACTGGTGGAAGTTTTTTTCATTTCCATTTAATCTTGTGGTAAATGGCAACAACATGGTACTGTCTGTCCACAGGCAACGGAACTATAGACTTCCCAGAGTTCCTAACCATGATGGCAAGGAAAATGAAGGACACGGACAGTGAAGAGGAAATCCGAGAAGCTTTCAGAGTCTTTGACAAGGTGAGGAAATGTCACCGTTAACTGCAGCTGCCATGAACTTGAAACCTGATGAAGCACTGAACTGATTCATGAAACGTAATCTTGAAGAATCTTAATGAAGGTTCAGGGTAGCTGCTTTTGAACACAAGAACACTTCTGACCCACTTCTCAGGGTCAGGTGAACCAAAACCAGCTGAAATATACAAGGCTTCCTTGAAAATGACCAGTCAACTAGTCATCCAGGCAACCCGCTGACTTTGAAACCGTGTAGCTGCTGTGAAGCGTTTACGTAAGAACTGCGCAGGTGTGTTTTCCGTACAGTGGGTGAGATTATTCACCATGTGGGCACAGGCTGCAGCAGGCCGTTGGCAGAGAGTGCTTGAAACAGCTTGAGTTGATTTTGGGTTTTCTTGATTGCTTCTCCACTTGCTTTGAGCTTGGGATGAATATTTTGTAGTCAGATATTTGAACACAAACATAACCAAATAAAATAAATTAAAAGCAATCAATATAATTATATAAATGAAATCACATTTTTAATGTTTCATGTGTCCTTCAGAAAAAGAAGAGATGAAAGTTCTTAAGGTTCCGATATGCTTCAAGCTAAATTTACTGATACGTTACGAACAGGTGAAAAAAAAGGCAAAAAAAACAAAGGTGCTTTGGAGTTTGTTTCAATAGTTCAAACAGCTCGCCAGTGTGAAATTTTGTCAAAAACATCTTTGTTTTTTTTTGTTTTTTGCAAAACATTCTTCGAACTGCCATTGGTCCATGATAGGGGTGGGCGATTTGGAAAAATATTATATCACAATTTTTTTTAGAAATATCACAATTCACGATTTTATCACGATTCTTTGTCATGTTGGTTTTACTATTTTGCAAGTTGTCTGAGCATAACAGTCAAACTAATTTCCCTATTATAAAGACAAAGCCTTTCAAGGTAACAAAATAAAATTAAAAAAAGGCAGATATTTTGGCCAAAGTGGGCGAAGATAAAAATCTTTGTCATTATTTTATCTTTGTTATTAAAAAATAAGAACAAAGATACACATTACCAACTACACATAATATACAAATAAAACAAACTGCTTTATTTTCAGGTACAATAGGTGTATTTAGCAGGAGCATTTAAGAAATTGAATGAACAAATATAAAAATAAAACACTATATAGACTGATTCCTAATACAACTGTTTTAAAGATCTTCAGTCAAGAATAGTGAGTGATTTTTTTCTTTGCATTTTGTTGTTTTATTATCGTTAAAGGAATAGTTCACCCAAAAATAAAAATTCTGTCATCTGTCTGTCAATTCTGTGATAGTGTTTTATTTTTATACCATAATTTACTCACTCAAAAGTTGTTTTAAACCTGAAGGAGTTTATTTCTTCTAATATACAGGCATGCATCCGTTTTTCTCTCAACTGTTTACTTTCATTTTAGACATAACCAACTGAATATATATGTAAACCTTGTGTGTTTTGACAGTATTATGCAAAATATAACTTGATAATTAGGCGCTGTTTGACAGGTTTTTTAGTGCGCGCGCTTCAGGTGTACACGGCGCTCAGAAAAAGTGCACGTCAGACCAGTGCGCGAATGAAACCTTTAACCGGCAGGGCTTTAAAGCAGATGCAAATAATGTACTTTTGTGACTGCGATTAAGTACAGTGTCCTGTGATAGTAACTCTACCGCTGATAATTAAATTACAAATTAAAAAATATATAATCATAATCTATGACAGAAAATACTATTAATAAAGTAGGTTAGTGGATAATTCCGCAGCAAAAGTTATTCTAGAAAAGTCATGGGTGCACAATTTTATAAAAACATTAAACTAAACTAAACATATATACTGTGTGTGTGTATGTGTATGTACCTGCATCTCCCTCCTGCGTAATCTGTTTTTCTTTTTCTCCTTGTAGCTGGAAATCAGCTCACAGACAATTTGCGGGCTATATATATATATTTTAAATAATTACAGTCTTGCTCGAGAACTCCGGTCTGACGCACGCGGGTTCTCGCGTTATTTCCTTATCATTTCTCGCGTGTGTTTTGTTGTGAAATGTAGTTTGCGGACCAGACAGAGCTGTCGGCGATTCTTCCTATTGTGAAGTCATGCAGTGTGAACCCCCCGGTCGCCGATCCATCGTGCAATGTGAACACAGCAGCAACTGACTGCTACCTCAGATAGTCGTGCAGTGTGAAAACAACGGCGATCCGACGAGTTTGAAAATCGTGCAGTGTGAACTCGGCATAACGCAGCCATATGCATATGATGCGCGCATATTATGCCGCACACAGGCACTCAACAACAATGACAGCTGATCAACAATTTCAACAGTAGGCTAGATTAGGGTGGGTTAAATGCAGAGTAAATTTCCCTACATGGATCAGTAAAAGTAATCCACCAATACACGGGTCACTATGCACATTCACATCACTCTAAAATGACGACGCGCCCACAGCAGCAAAACTGTACAAATGTTGGACATCCACACACCACACCACAGTATTATCAACGCACCACGTACACCTCCATAACAATGTGCAGGATATAATACTCGTCAAATAATAAAGCACTAACTTGTCACTTGTAAATAAAGTCCATGTGTCTGTCATTCCATGTCCCTTTACTCGTATTAAAAAGTAAACATGGCCAAATAACTTGTTGTGCTCGGTGCTAGCTGTTAGCCAGGGTGACCATACATGCCATTTTCCCAGGACACATCCTGGCCAGGATTTCTATATTGCCTAAAATATCTAGGTTTTGGC